TAATTATTATAAAATATTCAATTCATTTTAAAACAAACTACAAAACAATTAATATCTCATAGGAGTAACAAATTCACATAGCCAATTAATTCTAAAAATTATTTACATATAATTCGCCATTGAGTATCTCATAACAAATTCATATACGCGCGAAAATTAATTCTAAAAAAATAATAAGTGCATACTTCTAGCAAAAAAAAAAAAAAATGTTATTGGAACAATTTTTTTATTTTATTTTTTTTATATAAGTTTTATGTGTTGTTAAATAAGTGAATGCATTTAATATCACGAGTCTCATATAAATTAAAAAAATTAATTATTTTAATAATAAATCAAATTATACAAAAAAAAAATAAAAAAATTATCCCAATATCATTTCTAAAAAAAAATTAAAATAGTGAGCGGAAATCATGGACCAAAGTGAAGGTTTGAACTTTGAAAACATGTGAGGAAATGGTTGGCCCACGTATTAGATTCCGCCACATGTTGTGGTGTGGTTCTTAAATAAAAGGAGTGGAGGATTCCCACCGTCAGCGTTGTGCACGGGGCATGAGCTACAACCGCAGGGACACGAGTCTTTTGAGGCAGGCTCTGCTCTAGAAAATTCCCCTCTTCACCTTCACTATTTAAAAAAAAAAAATTAAATTTTTTATTTTATAGTTTAATAAACATTAAATTATAAAATAAAAATAATTAAATAAAAAAAATTTAATAATAGAACCTTGCTCTTTCATTATTGTACTTTTACACACAACATCTTCACTGGTATATTTAACTTTCATTATCAACAACCTCTTTATTTGAAAGAAAAAAAAATCGATTTTATTTAAATAAAATTTTAAATTTAAATAATGTAAATAAAAAAATAAACCTTAAAAAAAATTTCTTTTATAAGAGTTTGATACAATTTAATTATGAATTAATGAAAGTTTAATATGACTTTTGGATATTAAAAGTTATTTTAAAAAAATATTTAACTTATGTTAATAAAAATTTAAGTGAAAATTTTCAAAAATTATAATAATATTATTTTATTAAAAAATTCTTTTCAAGTTGACTT